AGATGCATTACTAGTTAGAAGGATTAGACGCTTTGTCTATTTCAAAACCATTATTCCAATTAATGCTTGCAGCATGAAATTCCATCGGATAATTTTACTTGATAAGGAGTGCTGTAGATAGGTATATATCAAGAAGGTGATCTGAGACATATCTGTCTTGTGATTTTGGATAAATATCCGCTTCAGTAACGCTCCTAGACTTTTTGGTTAACTTCTGTATTAAACCATTCTTTCTTCAAAAATGAAATCGTACATATTTTGTGTAAGCTATCAAAACACTTTAAACACTTCTTCTTGCACCCTCAAGGTTTGTCGTGCTTGTAATTGAGTCTCCAGCGTTACGAACTCCGATGATTATATCTAAGGAAAGCTCGAAGCATAGGCTACATCGATAACTGCTTTAGAATGCCATTTTTTCGGAGGACGCCAACTAAGTTGTTCTCTCAAGCTACAATCAAATAAATTTTTTCTTCTTTAACTAGTAATATTTAACTATAAATATTTATATTAATTTTAATTAATTTTATTCGGGGTGCCGACTTCAATGATTGCTTAGATTCCAGAAAAGGAATATGGAGACTGGCTTGAAGGTACACTGGGGGGGGGGGGGGGGAGGAACAGTTCTGTATCTGCCATTCTACTGCGCCGATTGACGAAATTCAAATTGCATTTTTCATGTCTCGAAAGCGCGACTTAGGATATATATTAAATTTATATATAACATTATTCTAGAGTAAGTATTTTGACACAAAATAGGACTTTTTTCTAAAATAACATATCAATTTTTTTTCCATGTTTCGATTCTACCATTCAAATTATGCCTAGATATTAAATGTTGTAAATTTTGGTGAAACATTTATGGAGAAATTTAAAAATTTACCTTGGCGCATTTTTTTCAGTTTGCGCCAAAAGTTGGCGGAATTCTTAATTTATAGTAACCTACTTACTTTCCCTTTTTCATTGATGCACGAGAGGGAAAAAGGTCCATTGTTCATTCTTTCAAATAATGTTAACAAAGTGCGTAAACCACATTTTCGTTATTATAACTTATATTAAATACGCCAAATTTCAAAACGCGCCAATATGTAAATTCATGTATATCCCAGGAAATTTTGAATAGAAAACTCTAATTTTTTTAGATATGCTTAGAAATACATCTACTTTGAGAAAGTATAATTTAATAGGTTATAATACAAAAATGTTTTCGAAAAATATATAAAAATATTTTTAAAATGCAAATTTTTAAAATAAATAATAAAAAATGTGCGAATTGTATTTGGATTAAGCCTAAATTTCGAATTCTGGAAGAAATAATCAAAAGACTACTAAGTTCAATAAAAAAGAATTATTAATAAATATATATCAAATTCAATTAACACTGAGGAGCTAAAATTTTGAAAACTAAGTTTTAAAAACGTACTTGTGCGATTATTACAAGACTTAGCAGTTTAGCATAATTTGAATCGTAGAATCGAAATTTGGTAAAAAATTGGAATTTCATTTCAGAAAAAGTCTGATTTCATGTCAAAATACCTATATTAAAACAATGCTATATATAAATCTAATACATATCCTAAGTCTGCTTTCGAGACACGAAAAACGCAAGCTGAATTTTGTCAATCGGCCGAGTAGAACGGGAGATATCGAACTGCCCCTCCCTTTTTTTCGCAGTGTATATCTCTACGCAAGTCACAGAGGTCGAATATGATGGTAATTGCTTGGTAACAGAATTTTCTCACTGCAGCCCATACAGCCGCTTCTCATTAACAGGTAATTTCTGAGTAATTTCAGTAACAGATAATTCCAGATAATTTCACCGACCACTAAAATCTTTTATGTCTAGGATAATGACTTCATTGCAAATCTGAATCGCGACCCGTTTTATATACAAGTGTTTATATTATTTTTGTTTATATAGTGTTTATATTACTTTTTAATTACTATTTGTATAAAGTTACAGAGGAGACAGGAGGAGATTAGGTGTGGAAGAGTTTGAAAAATTAAATATGTCTTTCACCGGAATAATGTCCAAGTAACTGCTTGAATATACTAACACTTTAATTCCTTGCATGTTTCTAGAATATTTATGCTTAAAATTCAAGCTTTAGTTTAAAATTTTTAGGCGGTTTGTTTCATTTTTTTTTTTTTTTTTTTTTTTTTTTTTCTCCGGTGAGAACATATTTTAACGAATAAAATTGAATGTGCCATGTATCTTTTACAACATCTGTGTTTTTCGGGTACGTATTATAAGCATTCATTCTTTCTTAATGTATTACATGACTAACAGTGTATTTCAAAACAAAAATTATTCAATGTTTTAAATAAGCTAATAAATAAGAGTAATTTTGCGACGAAAATATATTAGATCAAGGCCTTAGAGTTAAGAACGCTTGGAGAACTTAGACCACCAGCTGGTTTAGATTGTCTTGAATTACGACGTCAAATATTATTTGCGCCATACTTTTGACCCCAAGGTTAAGAACCAAAGTAAAATTTAGGTTAGATATTTATAATACCCTTGAAGTACACCCTTGACAACCACTTCCTTAAGTAAATTAGCTCATTCTTTACAGGATAAGGAATCGGTTGTCTTAAAATGAAGCTCTTTTTTGCGGTAATTTATAATGGTTATAAATTGTTAATGATAAGTTATTTGCAATCTGAATAGAGCAGTAAGGTAGGCTTGTAAAGAACAGGAAACAATGTATTCGCTTAGGAAACGCAAGAGCGCATCAAGAGTTTCCTTAAAATAGACGTTCTCAAATCAGGGGGCACATAAAAATTATTGCAGATACTAAAAGCATTTTAGAACTTATTTTTAGAATAAGCAACTCGAATGGAGCCAAGAAATATTTAACAAAATATCGCTTCAAATCAAATTCTGCTAGAATATTCTGCGCTTTTACGTAATTCTTCCTTTGGAGTTCCACTTCTAGCAGTTTTTGCATAATTAGAAGTTTTACATGCATACGCAACATTGTATATCTTTTGATGATTACATAATGAAAAGTACATGGAGTTAAATAAAAACTCAATTGCTTTTAGTTTCTCTGGAAAATAAAACACCAGAAACCGAAAATAACATCAAAAGCAAGAATAATATGATAAATATACATCCCAACCAAGAAGAAATAAGAATAATATCCGTAGTGTATTTTCAGTTTCAAAAATTGGGAAGAAAGTGTGTTGGCTGGAAGCATAGATTGGGTTGAATTGTCTGATTATGATAAACATACAAGGGAAAGACTGAGAAAAAAAAACACTGTTTTCACTGCAGCTGCTTCTACCGGTCTATCCGAGGCCTATTTTCAGAGTGAGTGAACCTCTCTGAGGATATCCACCCAAGGAAAGGATGCCTTCTTGGAGAACTTTTTATTGCAGATGACGATAGTGACGATGTTACTTTGTACTAAGACGTAGGAAATTCGGCATTGAAAAATGCTGCAGAACTGATCTTCCCCAAACGAACAACTAGCAACTGTGCATCCTTCACCCCTTTGATGAAAAATAGATATTTTACCTTTCAGACACTAGGACAAAAGGGAGAAAAATTTTTTCATAACGAGCCTCTCTTCGAATGGAATTTACATTAGGGTTCATTTCTCTTCATTCTTTTTTCTCCATTCTTGTAACATAAAATTCGACATTATTTAATCGTGTAAAAATGTATCTTTTTCGTATTATCTTGTGAAAGGTAAGAGTTTTAATTCTAGTTCTATTTTTCCTTATTTATGACTACCAGCATTCAAATAATCTCTGAAGTCACTAATCAACACCATCTGAAGTGCCTTCAAGAGATGCAGGATGCTTGAGCATGAAAGAGAATAGGATTTCATTGGCAAAGATGCTCTGTAGCTCAGACTAGTGTCAAAATTTAGATGTTTGAATCTCTGTGTGATCTGTGTGACCTGAAATACAACAACAAGCTCGCCTGCGTAAATTTAGTGCATTTTTATTTATTTATTTATTTATTTTTTAAATTTATTTATATATATATATATAATATATATATATATATATATTCTTTAAAAATGATTTAATTATGTTGTTCTTATCTTCCGGTTAAGGTTTTTATGCCTTTAGGAAATCTGCAAGCAATATTTGTAGAATTACCAACAATTTAAAAGCTGTTTAAGTGCGGTTAAGCCTAATTTTTAAATAACATGGCGACTTGTTTGTTTACTTTTGAAACAGCACAATAGTAGATTTGTTGCCAATCTAAAGAGACTAAGCTTTGCAGCAACAAACGCCTTCATTTATTATTGCGAATTAAATCATGCTTAATCCTTTCTTGTATTTTTTTCGAGGAAATAAGTGCTTAAGATTTACTTCGTAATTTTTAATATCGATATTTTGAGTTTTATGTATTTTTTCGCGAAGTGAGAACTGAATTAATTGAACGAGAAATATGAATCGCTGTGAAAAAATGTTTCTTTTTTGTTTTGTTTGCTTAATTTCTTTTATACATAGTTTAGATTTATTATAGTATTTGAATAGAACATATGGCAACGATTAGATAATTCTTCAAATGATATAAATTTTGTGCATTCTGAGTTATAATATGAACGAAATATAACGCTGTTAAGTGAACCTAGCGCCAGAGTATGCTATGGTAAACAAATATAGTGAATTTTAAAGAGTGCATTTATTCTATTGTGGGTTATGAGCTATCGACTAAGTAGATTTAATTCAATCCAATAAGTTTAAATGAAATGGAACAAAAAAATGCGCATAATTTAATATTTCGTACAAGGAAGTCATGTGGTGTACACATCAGATTTTTTTAATACAAAATTCAAACAAATACTCTTAAGTACATGAAATATAACTAGGCGAATCGATTTTATCGAAGCTTTAATTTATTTTACATAAACACTCTTTGTTCACAAAATGTGAGAAAACAAATGTGTTTTCAAAATTTAATGTAAAAAATATAAGCATAATGTTATCTGAAAGTTATTTAAAGGATATTCTTTATGTTTTTACCCCAAAGGCAAAACACAAGTTAAAAATTTAAATAGTATTTACCAATAACAAATTGCATTCTGAGTCTCAGATATCAAAATAAGTTAAAGGATAGAGATAGAAAAGACAGACAGCAATTTTATCAAATTTATTTTACGACAATAAAATTTTCAACCAATTTCAAAGGACGAAAAGAAATTTCCGAATGATTTATTTTAAAACTTTTTACATCTCCACTATTCAGATTTATATAAAAATAACTGTGCCATTTGCTTAAAATTTCCATAATCAGCCTATAAATTATATTTTATTCATCTTTTTTATATTTTTAGTATGCTGGAAAAGTTGGAAGTGGCAGGCATAACTTTTTTTTTCAAGCTAGTGGAATGGAGAGAGCTACAGTGAGGTAACGGTACAGTAAAAGGACTACGCCCGACCTTACGCAAACGACACCGCGAATCGAAAATGACAAGAGATAGAGCAAAATTTTCCAATTAGGAAGTTTTAGAGCATCAATTAATTAGTACGAAACGACATTTGGCTCACAGGAATAAGATAAATTGCATATACAAAGACGTCCACAACTGATGCGCGATGGTTGAACTCCGCATATTCACATTTGGGAAATGTAGCAGTATGCAAATGCAGATTGTGAAGTTGTACTGTACTATAACGTCTGTAAAACTTTAATTTCCAATGCATTTAAAATTTTAGCTTAAAAGGTGTTGATTCTCACTTCATACAATCAGCATAATCTCAAACTTCATTATAATCTCGATAGCAGACGATAGCATTGCTTTCACTGTGTGATAGTTTGCTTTTGCGGGGTTTTTTTTATTTTTATTTTTTGTGTATGATGTTATCAAACTGTATTGACGTAAGTAAGTATTTTACGCAGTTAAAAGGTGCCTATTTCTTAATACCTATGGCTATTCTTTTCAAACGCTTACACAAAATAGAGTGCATCGATTGCGGACATCTTGGGCTATACAGGCGACAATTTATCTTATCTGTGGGAACCAAATGTCGTTTCATACTAATTAATTGATGCTCTGAAACTTTCCAATTGGAAATTTTGCTTTATCTCTTTTCGTTTCCGATTTGCAATGCCTATCTTCCAAATTTCGCCACTAGGGGCGTTGCTGTCGTTTGCATTTGGTCGGGAGTTGTAGCTTTTACTATACAGTTACCTCACTTGCGTAGCTCTAGCTTTCCGTTCGAAAGAAATTTCAGGTTAAAGGGACTATGTATACACCTCACACCTATGTATATAAAAGCACATTTAATAGATTTGTTTAAACTGCTATTCAGAAATTAGGATATTATCCATTTAATAAAACTTTGTAAAATTAAAATTTATCCCTGGAATAGAGTTCCAGAAAATAGCTGCGAAGCCACATATACACAAAATGTCTCTACTTTTGTATAAGAGCAACTGACAAAACACACTATTCCGAAGCTATTAAAGATGTACCGTCCAGTTTTTTCAATTGAGGTAGAATCTCAGCCACCTTCGTTCGATAATTTTCACCAAGAATAGTTTCCACAGGACACCCTTTAAGCACCAGTTCCTCTAAGTTCGACAATTCGGACAAATGCTTCAACTCATTGATATCTTTCAGATTATTGTTTGACATATACAGGACTTTCAGATTTTTTAGATTCGATACCGGCTTCAATTTGTCTATGTTGTTGTAGGAAATCCAGAGTTGCTCCAATGTTTCTCCTAGAGCTTCTACGCCATTTAAGTTCTTTAAGTTATTTCTTCCAACGGAAAGAATCTTTACTTTATTTAAGGTGTTCAAATTAGTGAGCTTGTCGATCATATTTGTGGATAAAGACAACCTCTCACAATTTGTCAGAGTTCCCAAAGAGGGGTCAAGTTTTTCAATAGGTGGAATCCATCCATTCAGTTTAACAACATTTGCCTCTCCAGGTACTTCTCCTGTTTTCTCAGCCCACTTTTTCAGCGCATCCTTGAGTGCGATGCCTTTTCCCATAGTTCAGAAATGCTAAATTCTTTTTCTGAGATTATCCTTAAGGCAAAGTACCTACAATCTGGAAAAATTAAAAGTTTTCTCATAACTCCCTTAAAATACAAGATAAAAGTTCGTAGAAATGTACTTCACTATTATCTGAAATATTATATGTTACTTACCAAATTATTTATGTGTAAAATGAAGCTGAAATTAGAATACATACTATTCAGTTTTAACTATTTCTCTATTTGCAATATTTTAGCATTTTACAATTCTATTAAAAAGGACGCGAATTAATAATGCAGTGTGCACCTTGAAACTTCATTCAGACATATGCTCTGGTGATGTATGAAAAGCGGGCATTCAGTAGAATGGCTCGGCATTTTTGGAAAAGTGTGAAAATGAGATTTATTTGAATAAATTCCTCCTGGAAAATGTATATAATTCCTAGGCATTCTATAGAATGGCAGATGCTTTTAGATAAAGTGTGAAGAGAAGGTCATGAGAAGCCTTCTGCAGAGATGCATTCTACAAAAATACAAATATTATTTAGAAAAATAATAATAGAAAGACATTAAAAATTATTTACTTAAAATACGTAAAGGAAATGAAAGTTATATAAAGCAAAGCTTATGATTTTTTATTGAAGAAAACACAATAAAGTATGAACCCAATTTCTGCATCAAGAAAGGGAATAATTTTATCTCTAATTGCATTCAATTTTATTTCTTACAAAAAATAAAACAGAATCGTGTAAAGACCTTTACTAAAAGTAAACACATTAATATCTAAGAAAATTTAAGGAATGATTTTTTTTTATTTTAAAAATAGGAAATTAAAATTAACCTACTTGTTGGTACATGTTAGGCTTAAATGACATTCAATTGCACTTCGTTACTTTCTTCACACTAAAGCTTTTCGAATTTTGGCGTTTTGATTTTCATGTACACTTAACGAATCCTTCGCCAATTGAGCAGTTACAACTGAGAAGAGAGGAGTTTCGAGGTTAGATAGATTTAGATTCTAAGCAAATTCTTAGAGCATAAAGCGTAAAATGTCAGAAGTTTCAAGTCAGTAGGAAACGTCTTCTAATACACTTGTTATAATTTGTATAAACTTGTTATACTGCGCGAACCACCTCGTCCCTTGTCGACATAATTAATAGGAACTTACGTGGTAGCTCCCAAAGCAGCAGAAAGATTTTTTTTTTTTATGAATTCACTTTAATTGTTTGGCTTTTATTTCCAGATTTAGTTTAAAACTATTTTTACCATCGATAACATTTTCAGTTTTAAAACGAATAGTGTACAAAATATTCATTTCATCATTGCAACAAGCATAGCTACAGAAGGTACAAATTTTTCAATGCATGTGCATTACTATTTCCTTTAAACACACGCATCAGGTAGCAAAACCGAAATCTCTTCGGTAAGCACGTCTTCATCATAGTGTTGGCTATGTGAGTGGCGAAACTTCCCTCCGACGATCTTCAGTGTTGTCCAAAACATCTTCGAGCTGGTCATCATGTTATTTGCAAACTTCCTACCATTGTCAGACTGTAAAATAAATGGTGTCTCAAGCAACAAGAATATGACTGCAAGGTTTTGGCCTAAATTTGTCGCTCATTTTGACCTTTAAGAATCACAAATTTTGTAAAATGATCTTGGTATACTATAATAAATTCGTATTATCTGTCTGGCTTGGATTGAAAATAAATAAGATCTACCCGACAACGAAAATTAAATTCAGGAAAAAGAAAACATAGGTTTTCACAACAATGTCCTTTTCCAGTATCTATTTTTCCTATAAAGACTCACTAAGATGGATGTGTAGTTCAATATGATTATTCGTAATGTTTCTGATTTATCTAAAATTTCCTTCAACACACTATCACGTGAAATAACTCAGAGTCCTTGACATAATACAATATAGTCCTGACGTCTTTTTTAATAGGATAAATGAATTTACTTTGTTTCCCACAAACATCACACCATAGCGACTCAGCAATCAATAGTCCCCTATAGCAAATATCCTTAAAATTAAAGTTTTTATTAAGTACACAATTATAATCTGAACGAGATGCTTACATTCGAAGACATATCCCCTTATATTCAAGAAAGTTAGCCTAAGTTGGCAAGAAAAATGGAATTCTTCTTGGAGATAATACATAAAGAGTATGCTGTTACTAATATGGCGTTAAAAGTTGCTACTAGTTAGAATATAAATTCAAAATAAAGTAATTAAAAGTAAATTAAAAAATTAATCACTTTCTCTAAACCTGGAAAGTAATAACTAATAATTCAAAATAATTTATAATAAGAAAACTTTCCTTATACCATCTCCAAGGAACACAAATGTTTGCGATTTAAGATTTTTCTTAGCAGATTTTTAAACAGGAACTTGAAATTACTATTTAAAATACTAATTTAAATTCTGACTAAAAAAATCATTCATGGTTTTAAATTGAATTTGTGTTCCTTGGACACGGTATATGGAAAGTTTTCTTATTATAAATTATTTTGAATTATATATATACGCGCCCTCTGTTACTCAGCTCAGTGAGCTCAGTTTTATCATTCATATTGCTAAATCGTGCATTTTTTGCTTTAAAAATTATTCAGTTATGTTGTTCTTATCTTCCGGTTAAAGGTTTTATGCCTTTAGTTAATCTGCATGCAATCGTGTAGAATTATTAAAAATTTAAATGATGCTTAAGTGCGGCTGCGGTTAAGCCTAATATTTTTACCATGACAGCCATATTTATTTGCATTTGAAACTTAGCATAAAAGTGAATTAAGTCTTTCTGAACATTCAGTATCATATTGCCGAGTGGAACCAAAAGGAAACTTTTAGATTTGTGCACCGAATAATCTGCCTTCTTGTCTGCTGGCCGAATCGCTTGTTTTTGCTTAGAAACTGTAATTTTAATTGTAATTTTTTATTTTTTTAACTGCATTTGGTTTAAATTAATTTTTTACACCTTTCAATTTTTAATAAAAATATTTTGAGTTTTTATGTAGTGTTGCCTTGCCGTGAAGTGAAAACTGAATTAATTGAATGAGAAATATACCTCTAATGAAATTTGAGGAAATACGTTTAAATGAAATGCAGGAAAAATGCACATAATTTAATATTCCGTATAAGAAAGTCATGTGGTGTACGCATCAAGCTTTTAACTTTTGGTAAGTATTTAGTTTCGGTTACAAACGCACTGTTTTTACAGCATTATCTCGCACTTTAAGCAGTCCTTTTAAAAACGTTGTTTCATCCGTCTGTTGACCATTGACCATGATTCCTTCTCCAACACTGTATCTTGCTGTTCCACTTTCATAAAGTACAATGTAGACGTAATTTTAAATAAAAAAATTCTGTATTTTGACACTTCCGAACGAAAATACAAATGGAGAATTCTCAGCCTCGGCGAGCTTTAAAAGTCACATCCTTGGTTTAATTAATTAAGGCAAAGCCCACGAGGATTATCTGTCTAAGGGAAGGGATGTATTCGTGCTGCACTTTCTAAGGAAACCTGGCTTCTATACACGTTATTACACATGGGGAAATATAGAATTCTGTTTCATAAACTGTCTTCTATTTTCTTGGAAACCAATAAGTATAAATTGTGTGATACATAATATTTCTTTTGAGAAGTATTAAAAATTACCTTATATGACTGAAAAGCACATATACTAACTTTTTAAATATTTTTAATACTTCTTTAATTTTTCAACAGTTCCACATTGTTATCATCTCTTGAATATAAATTAAAACAAAATGTGTTAATACATAACCACGAAAGCGCCCACGCAGCCAGCCCATCAGCCGGGATTCGAACCCCGGAAAGAACTATTAGTGTTCAGCGACTTTACCGCTCGGTCCCTCGTAAGCCTGTCACATCTTTGCACGAGATATTCGAACCGAATCGGAGATGTGTTTCATATTTTGCCGATTTTTTATTTGGCATTGTATAGACTGCCTATAAAAGTGTGAAATGTTTAATGTTTCATACTTTGGCTGTCATATTTTGTCTGTCTGTCCTTTCATACTTTGCTTAGGCATTCTATAGAATGCTGTATTTCAAACTTTTCCGGCAATACAGATAAATTTCAAACATTAAATGAAGTTTTTTCTATCAGTTGATGAGTGATTGCACCACGTTTGTAAAAGGCATTCAATTTTCGAAAAACCGTGTTTCTGCTTCTCATGACTTGAAGACAAACAAAAGATTAAGTACCCTTTTCATGACACTGCGATGTGTTTAGATTAGCAAATGTCATGTACCGAACTAGCTTCCTGTATCTTATTCAGGTTGTAGAATCATTGGGTTATTTCGGAAGCAGGAGACGTGTTGACCACTACACCACAAAGGCATGCTAAGAAGGCGGCAGAAATACTTTATATACTCCCCCCTTTTAAAGGGTGACTAGGGATTACAGGACATAATCCCCAAATCCTGGGGGTGAAGAATCATCATCCACTACCATTTTTAGTTCGGGCGCCACTGTAGATGCATTAGGTTATTTCGTAAGCAGGGGTCGTGAAAGATTGACAGTGCCCTCGCCGGGACACGAACCACGGACCTCTCGAATACGCGTCGAAAGTGCTAACCACTACACCACGAAGGCATGTTAAGAAGGCGGGAGAAGTACCTTGTAAGGTTAAAACTCTAAAAATTTTCCTCGGTTCAGAGATAATAATATTTCAAAAACTGCGCATCTGATGTATATGTACACATCTCTCTTAAATATTTAGTGAGAAGGCTCAAGTATAATTTTCGGTAAAGCAGAAATAATTCAGACATTAGTTATCCTGTACTATATGGATTAGTTCTTTGTTATATGAGTTAAATCATATAGCACATTGCCCTTTATTATATAAGTTTAATAATATAGAGCATTGGCTTCTTGTTGCATATAACAAAAAAAAATTGGTATGGTAAGAAAATTATGAATGATTGTTGAGTAAAATTGTTGAGAGATAGCAGAATATGTAATATGTCATAAATTTTACTCAAGTTAAATAAATGGAGAAGTTCTTAAATTCCTTTTACAAATTCATCAAACAGAAAATCGGTTGTAAATACTCGATAATAAATTGAAGGAATTCATTAAAATTGATAAATAAAATTTTTAAGAATGTAACAAAAGCGGTCAAAAACAAAGTAAGAAAATTAATAATATCTAACTGTTCAAGGGAGTAGCAATTTTTTTTCACAGTTACACATTTAAAATTTTCTTATTTTCCCTTTGAATAGAAAATATTCTTTAAATCGATTGAAATATCGATTAATAATATTAACTCTTACATTAATTAAAAAGTATTTCTGCTATAGTACAGCATAAAAATCCTATTTCCAATTAACTATGACTTACCGATAATAATAAAAATCTATGAACGAAAATTTCTTCAACTTTTTAAAGCAAATCCTCTGAATTTCTAGGATTTCTTCTCCTACGACTTAAACAACTAGATCAGAGGAAAATATTAGCAGTCTGCATTCTAATCTAATACCATGAGAAACTGAACTGAGTAAGTCATAACTTCCTCTACTCCAACTGTAAAACACAGCAAACAATACTAGGTATCCAATCAAATTCGTTTATCGATTTTTATTTCGCGTGTCGAAAATACTGTTGGCAGAATGAGTAAGAATATACCCAAAGTAAGAATTAGAAATGTAGTATTTCAGTCTTCAGAAGGACCCTTTCAAAAGTCATCCAGAAAGGATATTGGTGGTAACATTACAGTTACTAGGCATAAAATATACTATATTCGGCTGTATTGTGTAGATGGTATTCTTGAAACATAAATATACTTGTTAAAAAGAAAAATTTGGATATACCTTCTTAAACGTCTATTTTATTCCAGAAGTGATTCAATACTTTTAATACATAAATGATGCGATTTTATCAACTTCCAAATTAGCTTAGCTAGGTGCTATATATTTGAAATAAATTACATTAACATTTCAATTGGATAAAAAAATG